CCTGCCTAGGCAGGGGGTTGGACTAGAAGACCTCCAAGGTCCCTTCCAACTCTGCTCTTGTATTGTATTGTACTCACAAGTAAGGGATACAAGGCGGTTCGACCTCAGAAAGAGCTGCTCGGTAAGCCCGGAAGGACGACGAACTGTCAATCAGGGTGCAATACTCTGCCAAGCCCTAGGAAAAAGAGAAGAAGAAAACTTGACTTGTTTAGTGGCCGTTTGAAGTCAGAACTTGGCTGGGCTTCAAGCAAGGTCTCCTCCTCCATCACGAGGGCCGGTTTCCATGGACGTTGTTTTTGTAAGCTGCCCAGAGTCACTGAGAGTGAGTGAGTGAGGGGGCAGCCATGAAAAAATTCCTTAAATGACAGAAAGTTTAAAACGTCTAATTATTGCTACTTTGGTCATCTTAACTTTGGATTCTGGTAAGGTGAACTAGCTTGGAAAGAAAATGGTGTGATATCATCTTTATTATTATCTTTATCTCTCTCTCTCTCTCTCTCTCTCACACACACACACACACACACACAGAAAGAAAGTGAAAGAGTAGGGAGGAGAGAGAAAGGGGAATGGAGAGAGAGAGAGAAATAAAGAGAGAGGGAGAGAGAGAAAGGGGGGAGAGAGAGAAAGAGAAGGGAAGAGAGAGTGGGAAGAGAGAAAGGGGGAGACGGGGAGAGAAAGGGGAAGACAGAGAAAGGGGAAGAGAGAGAGAAAGAGAGGGAGAGAAAGGAGGAGAAAAAGGGGAAGGGGAAGAGAGAGAGAGAAAGGGAGAGATGGAAAGGGGGGAGAGAAAGAAGGAGACAAAGAGAAAGGGAAAGAGGGAGAGAAAGGAGGAGAGAAAGAGAAAGGGGAAGAGAGAGAGAAAGGGGAAGAGAGAGAGAAAGGAGGAGAGAGAAAGGGGAAGAGAGAAAGGGGAAGAGAGAGAGTTAGAAAGGAGGAGAGAAAGAGAGGGGAAAAGAGAGAGAAAGGGGGAGAGAGGGGGAGAAAGGAGGAGAGAAAGAGAAAGGGGAAGAGAGAGAGAAATGGAGAGGGAAAGGGGGAGAGAGAAAGGAGTAGAGAAAGAGAAAGGGGAAGAGAGAGAAAGAAAGCAGAGAAAGAGAAAGGGGGAGAGAGAGAAAGAAAGGAGAAGAGAAAAAGAAAGGGGAAGAGAGAGAGGAGGAGATAGAGAAAGAAAGGGGAAGAGAACAAGAGGAGGAGGAGGAATATGGATATGAAATACAGGTAGTCCTCGAACTTACAACAAATTCATTTAGTGACAGTTCGAAATGACAGTCTCACTGAAAAAAAGTGACTTGTTTTTTCACACAACCACCCTGGGCCAAAACTCCCTTAACAGAGGTCTCACTTAACGATGGAAACTTTGGCCTGGGTCGTGGTCATAAGCCGAGGACCGCCTTGTAAAAACCAACCCACCTCAGAGGTCTGCTTCTGCCACTCGAGACGCCGGATGGGGGCCGAATCCAGCGCGGAGAGGATGGCCAGGTAGGAGTTGAAGTTGTTGAGTTTCCGTAAGTGCTGCGGAGAAAGGGGGAAGAAATATGGGGAGATTGCCATCACCACATGTCCTAGTCCAGGGGTGTTCAAAGTTGGAAACTTTAAGATTGGTGGACTTCAACATGCATGGCTGCCAGGGGAATTCTGGGAGTTGAAATCCGCCAGTCTTAAAGTTCCCATCCGTGGCTGCCTGGGGAATTCTGGGAGTTGAAGTCCACCAGTCTTAAAGTTCCCATACATGGCTGCCTGGGGAATTCTGGGA